GTATTCCTCTAGTCTCAACTTAAAAACCACCCTGCTTAAAACCAACATTACGTAAACACAAAACATAGCCGTAAATATAGAAACATGGAATGACACATGAATGCGAAGGCATGTATCCCCATGAACTTTATCCCTTACTCTCCCAAACTCTATTCCAAAAAAATAAGAAAACAGTTAGTCTTAATATCTTTTTATATATATACAACTTGAATCCTTCAATCAAGACTCTCTCAAAATATTTTCTTAAAATAATTTTATTTTATCATGTAATAACTATCATACACTTTTGGAATCACCTGTGTTCTTTAACAAGTCGATAATTCAAAATATTAGAAATATTTATTAATTTTAAGTACTTGATAGAATAAATAAGAAAGTAATACTCTAAACATGCAAGTGGATTTGATGATTTACACAACTAAAGAGTTAATTTAAACCATTGACCAACAATTGAATTTCATCTTATTCCACATCAAGGGTATCGAGATATCAGTCAAAATAAACTAAAACGGGAGAATAGAGTTTGTTTGACCAATGACGACAAAGGGTATATCAGACAAACCTCTTTAACTCCGCCTCCTTCTCTCACCTTTTTACTATATCGTACAAACTTCCCTTTGATATGTCCGCTATCAAACTTAAGGCCAGTTTCGTAATTTCGTTTACCTTTCTATAAATACCCCTTGCAGTTACTGCGTTCGTTAGCGTTTTACTTCATTTGACTTTGTTCAGTCAGTTTTTTCGCTCCCGATTTCTCCAATTCCAATGGAAAGAGGCAGAGGCAGTCACGGTGGCCGTAGCAGTTACCGCGGCCGTGGCAGTTACCACGGTCGTGACAGTTACCACGGTCGTGACAGTTACCACGGTCGTGACAGTGGCACTTACCACGGCCGTGACAGTGGCAGTTATGGTATCGGTGAGGGCAATGCTGGGCACTACACTTCTGATGGTCGATACGGCAATACTGGTCGTAGCAGTTACGGCGGACGTGACAGTTACGGTGGCCGTAGAGGAAGGTTCTACCAACGTCCCCAGTTAAGTGGTGGCAACGAACACAGGTCTCCTTCCCAACCACAGCCAAAAGAACAGTGGCAACGGAAGTTAAATCCTTCTTCTTCTTCCCGTGGGGAATCTTCAGAACCACATGCTTCTCAACCTCGACCTGAAATTGAAACTGAAACTGGAATTGAAACTGACAAACTGACAATTCAAAATCCAGGTATTGAGCGCGCCTTTCTTGCTATATTTATAGCTTAAAAAATGCATCAATCTTTATAATAATGATAGTAAGAATTCAATTTATATTTTCAATTTGTTACAGACGTCGGATCTTTGAGGATATCAGAGGAAAAAGTAGAGAGCATCAGACCAATGCGTAGGCCTGACAAAGGGGGAAAAATGGCAGCTAAGAGAAACACCCTTGAGGTGAATTATTTCCTTGTTCAGTTTGATGAAAAGAGAGTAATATTCCACTACAATGTGGATGTGAAGGCCAAGGCTCCATCCATGAACAACCGGCCTCAGAAGATTTCCAAGTTTCTTCTGTCGTCGATTCGGGATAAGCTGTTTTCCGATCAGGCGTTCCCGACTTCGGCGTACGACGGCGACAAGAGCATATTCAGCTCGGAGCGCTTGAAGGAAGGAACCTTCGATGTGGAGGTGGTGAAAGGTGGGGAAGCAAGAATGCTTTGGTATTCGGTCACTCTTACACTTGTGAAGGACCTTGAACTCCGCAAGTTGAGAGATTACTTGAGTGGAAAGGTTCTTGGAACTCCTGCAGATGTTTTACAGGGCTTGAATTTGGTGGCGAAGGAGAATCCCAGTAAGCAGTGTGATACGGTTGGGTGCTGCTTCTTCCCCAAGGATCATCCCATAAGTCCGGAAGACTCTAAAGGGATAATTGCAACTGGAGGGTTTCAGCAGAGTCTTAAAACCAGTTCTCAGGGCTTGTCCTTGTGCGTCGACTTTTCCGTTCTGTCGTATTTTGGGGAGGAGAAACCGGTGTTGAAGTTTCTGCACGAACAGATTGAGAATTTCGATTTGAGGATGTTTCCCAAGTTCAAGAAAAAAGTTGAGGATTTACTTGTCGGGTTGAAAGTTAATGTAACCCACCGGAAGACGAAGCAGAAATACACTATCACAAAGTTGACACCCATGGTTACGAGCAAGATCAGATTCCCTGTTTTGGACAGTGAGGGGCGGAATCCAGCAGGGGAATGTAGTCTGATTGATTACTTTTGCAGGAAGCATAAGGTGGAGATTCAACACACGGAAATTCCTGCCTTGGATTTTGGAGGCAACAAGATGAATTATGTTCCAATGGAGTTGTGCGTCTTGATCAAGGATCAAAGATGCCCCAAAGAGAACTTACTGAATACAGATGCTGGCAATGTGTTGAGAAGAATGTCACTGGCTACTGCAGGAGAAAGGCGAAGAAAAATATGCACTATAGTGGAATCAGAGGAAGGACCGTGTGGGTAAGTGAATTTGAACCTGGTTAGTAATTGATGCAATGAATTTAGCATTTGCAAAAATTGCAAATCATTTGTGTTGACAGTTTCTTTTCCTGAATTTGTTGGAAACAAAGGCCTGACAGAATCTGTTTTGACAGAGGTGGTGTTATGGAGAGTTTTGGCATGCGTGTGGACACTTCCATGACAAAAGTGACAGGACGCGTCACTACAAAAAAAATGATATATAGTAGAGGTTTTTTTTTTCCGGAGGTTATAAAAAACCTCCGCAAATTGACATGATTTGAAATGATTATGCTACAGTGTAAATGACAATAATTGTGGCGGTTTTAATTTCTTATTTAGGAGGTTATAACATCTTCAATATAAACTTTTTTTTTCCTTTCCAACTTTTTTATATCTCTTCCTCTTTATATTTTACACGAAATATCGTTTCCCCAATTCCAAAAACATGTGTGCCTCCAAATTTTCGACTTTTTAGCTTCTCCCTCCCAAATTTCCACTCCCTTCCTCCTCTCAAAATTTCGCAATCGTTCTTCCCTCTACGAGCTTTTAAAATCAATCGATTCCCGTTCTTCTTCTTTGTTCTCCATTTCGCTCACGATAATTTCTTTAGTTTCGAGATTAGCGTTCCTAAGAGTTCTTCGTTCGACTCCTCCTACGCAACCTCTGGAACAACATTATGACGACATCGAGTTCTACGCCGACTCCTCCTATGACCCAATGAAAGCTCGCCAAGTCGCTATCGCGTTGAACTCCTCCAGCGACGTCAGTCCTCTTACTCTCTGTTTTGTTATAGCTAACACAAAGATAGAGAAGAAATGGAGAAGGTTTTGGAACAACAACACAGAAAAGAAGAGCTGAGAGTTAGGGTTTTATCGATTAACTAAAAAAAGGGAAAGGGATAGAAGAGGAAGGGGAAAATCAGGGGAAATTGAATATTGACGATCGTGATTCTCACCAGCGGAAAGAGTTAGCGGGAAGGTATAAACACTATAAGGTTTGGGTTAGGAAAGGTCAGAGATTTGAGACTTGGTTCTGTGGTCTTGTGTAATAATTGGGAAGTTGGTGTATTTCTCAGAGTTTGTTAGAATCAATCATAGATTCTTTTACAATTTTGCTCTATCAATGAATTCAATTTTGCAATGTTGTGTGTTTCTTGTGTAATGCATTAATCATTGATGTAAAAACCAACCTTTGTAATTTATAATTACAAATTATTTCAGAAATCGTTTAAGTGTAACACTTTTTTTCATATGAAATCTAACCATTTAGTTTGTATGAAAAAATACATTATATACAGGACAGACATTTGGTAGTAATGGAAATCCTTTTCTTGAGCTCCCTTTGTCATAATTTGCTCCTCTATGATCTAATAGATATAGAATCTTCATATGCTGCTAATGATTGTTTCTACATAGAGAGGAGGGAGGATAGTAGTTCTCCATAACAAACATATAAAACAGAAGACAATAAAGATGAATAATAATTAAAGAAAGCTACCTATGTTCTGTAAAACAAACAATTGAATTAAATCAATTTTGCATGCTTATAAATGTTGGACTGCAATCTCTTTTCTTTACTCATTCATTAACTGGATTGTTAGGGTAAGGAGGCTTCTGATACTGGTGGAGACACTTGCCAGCCTCTACTCTGTTTCTTCCAGGTCTCATGTTTTTATTTTAATGAATTATTACGAGCTGCTATGCCCAATTCTATGAAATAATAATAGGTGTTTTGAGGATGCGTTGTGCATAATTAATCATCACTCATCATAATTATACATAATGTTAGCTTTAGAGTTGATATTTGTCCAAGTCTAATGCATGCCTCAGTGTTCATTATAGATGTATTTGTTGAATGTGTTGTTGCCGTTAGTGGATGGGTTGTTGGGTAATAAGAAGTCTGAAATCAATTCCTCATATTTTTCTTTGCTATCAGACTGTTTACGCTCCGTTAACAAGGACCTATAATTAAACAATGTTCAAGTAACAGGTGTTTGTTTAAAGAGATTATGTCTAATGGTTTTCCTTCTTTATAAATGATTGACTTGCTGTTCAGTCTTGAGCATCTTTGTGCCATCCAACATTTTAATCAAAGCATATTAGCACTTTCCTATAAGAGGGATTTGGTGTTTAACTGAGTTACCTTTTTCCCCACTTTAACATATGTCATTAAACTACAAAGAATATGAATTTAGCACTTTTCTATATTTGTTACTTCTTTCTAGGTTTTATCTTTCTAGATTAAATCAATACATTTAGTATGTCTATGTCTATCATGATTTATGGTAGTAGGAGAAACAAGCAGTAGAAGAGATTTTATTTTCCATAATTTTTTTGGTTCTATATTAGCTTGAGATAAAGTTTGCAAGATATAAATGGAATCAATCTTCATTATTTTGTAGAGAACATATCGATAATGGAGAACTTGGGCAAAATGGTATGATGTAGAGCTTTTGCTGTCATGACAAATGGTGTTTATATTTGGAGATATGAAACATGTATTATATTTTTTTGGTGTGACTTCTAATAATGTTTTTCACTCTCTCTAGTGTTGTATTTTGAATGGAAACAGAACCGGTGGTGAAACAATGATAGACATTTGTTCCATGTTTGAAATTGGAGAAGAAAATGGAAAATGTTGTTGGAGTAAGAAAAGAACTGTTGGCTAATCAGAAGTTGTGATGTGGCAGAGACTTGCATTCAAGAAGTGGCAGAACAAGCATAAGGCAAAGAGACTTGAGGCATCAAACCTATCTTTGGTGCTACATCTTGGATTGAGGAATACCATGCCTTGATTTCCTTTATCTTGGAGCTACAAGAGCAAGTGTGAAGCTACAAGAGCAAGTGTGAAATTTCAATTATCTTGGAAGAACATGTTATTTCATTTGATTGATTTTTATATATATTATTTTCAAAATGTGAGCACATGTAATTGAGTTTATTTTAATTAATATTTTTTACTATTATTTCAGCAAGCTCGTGATGCAAAATGAGTCACGACTCTCCTTTGGGAAACAAGACAATCATCTGATGGAAGTAACCTTAGGAAGTCTAATTTGATATTTGTTTTAGGCATAAAACTTACTTAGTTTATTATGAATTGGGTTAACATTCTTTCTTTGTAACTGTTTCTGCAATAGGATTACCATTGACTTCTAGCTATCTTCTGTAACATCATTGTTTCTCAATTTATTTTCAAATTCCGTTCCTACTCAGGGGTTTGTTCTATGGTAGCAATTTTTTATTCAGAGGAATCATATTGTTTGGTATTTAATAATTTAAAATAAATATAAATTTACTTAATTTTGAATAAAAAAAAGAAGAAAGAGAAATTGGTGAAAATAGGAGTTATTATATTTTAATAATCATTAAACAAAAACGATATTAGAATTTTATAATAACATCAAAAAAAAAACTGAAAAAATATAGAAAACTTTTGATGATCACATAGTTGGAAAATAAAGGAGGTAAAACCCCCCACAAATTATATCAGTAATAGAGGAGGTTTTACCCTGTCGCAGAAAAAAACCTCCGCAAATTGAACGCGATATCCGGGGTCGCCAGAAAAAAACCCCCGCAGAATAGTTTGTGGCGACTTCAACACTGCGGCGGTTTGAAAAACCCCGGAAATTTTATTTTGCGGAGGGTGAAAACACCCCAACAAAATCGAAAAAAAAACCTCCCTCAAATAACTTTTTTTGTAGTGTATTTTATTTCCAAAAGACTAATTTGATTATTTCCTACTTAAAAGTATCATGAGAAATAAAAAATCTTTGCTTTAAAGACTCAAGTTCCATAGTTGTATGTCTCCCTTATATTGATATGTGGGAGATAATGTCTACTAACATATGGAAATGGAAATGTGTATTCCTCTAGTCTCAACACTTAAAAACCACCCTGCTTAAAACCAACATTACGTAAACACAAAAACATAGCCGTAAATATAGAAAAACATGGAATGACACATGAATGCGAAGGCATGTATCCCCATGAACTTTATCCCTTACTCTCCCAAACTCTATTCCAAAAAAATAAGAAAACAGTTATTTGCATCCGCTGAACCTCCACTCAAGCATCACCAACCTCCGCATGATGGCGTGCCAGCTGGCGTCCATTGGCCTCGTCAGTAGCATCCAGAGTCACAGGCAATGCCTTCCTCAGCGCCGACGCTATCATCGTCAGTTTCGGAGTACATGCAGAGGAAGATCTACGTGACTAACGACGATGCAGAACTCGATCCGCAGAAGCTTTCGACGTTCTTTCCACGGTTCGGGGAAATTGAGGAGGGGCCTTTGGGGCTGGATAAGGTAACAGGGAAAGAGAAAGAGGCAAAAAATGAAAGAGACAAAGATGAAAAAGGCACATATGAAAGAGGCACATATGAAACCTATGAGGAGGGGCCTTTGGGCCTTTGGAGGTTGTTGCACAGATGAAAGAGGCAAAAAATAAAACCTAATTTAAATCTAAGGTATAAAAGTAATTTCAATTTTTTAACGGCTAACGGGTATCCGCGGGTCGAATAGTATAATACTCGCACCGACCCGTTTATAAGTGGGTATGAAAATACTCACTTCTCACAACCCGTGGATAGTAAATATCCATGGGTATCAACTATCCGTTGTGAATATCTGCAGATATCCGCGGTCGCGAATTGTTTTGCCATCCCTAGCTGCTACCAATCAGACGTCTATATAGACGTCTGATCTATAGTGTCTGACGCCTATATAGACATTTGATCTGTAGTATCCGATGTCTATATAGACGTCTGACTGTATTGTCCGACGTCCCATTTACATCATTCATAAAGACGTCAGAGCGAGATCAAACATAAAAAGTCCAAAAAAACAAACATTAAAAGTTTTTTCTAGTGAATATAACACATGAAAAGTGACATCTTAATATATGGATTTATTCATATCTCCAACATGATCTTTGCTTTTTTTTTTTAAAAAAAGTACCATTGAAGGGTATTATTTTATTTCCAAAAGACTAATTTGATTATTTCCTACTTAAAAGTATCATGAGAAAAAAAAATATTTGCTTTAAAGACTCAAGTTCACATAGTTGTATGTCTCCCTTATATTGATATGTGGGAGATAATGTCTACTAACATATGGAAATGGAAATGTCGTATTCCTCTAGTCTCAACTTAAAAACCACCCTGCTTAA